CACAAACACTTAGAAAGAAATAAATACAAGAAACATAAACTCTAAAATTCTTTGAGAAGAAGAACTTATAAATTATGTGACCCATATACATATTCTTTTTGGGTTCTTTTTTTATTTTTATTTATTTAATTTTTTTTAAACTATAAACGTATATACAAACAAATAAAGAATGAAAAAATTAAAGTAAATACTGAAAAATCAAATTGCATTTACTAGACAATGAATTAAATACTTACATTGAAGAAAGTAGTTCAAGAAGAAGAAGTCACATAGGAAAGCTAACAATCATCATCTACTTCCATAGCATCTGAATCAGCCACTGCAAGAACATCTCTTCTCTTCAGTTCATCCGAGATCAAAGTATAAAAGACTCTTCCGGCTTCACCAATTTTGATTATACTCAGTATCACGCGCAATAGCTGAGAATCAGCTATAGGTATCTCAAAAGCTCGGAAAAATCGAAGGCAACTACTCGCGTCCCAGAAGAATATTCCATGCTCAGGAGCGGACAAGATAGTTCCTTCCGGATGACAAACATCTGAAGGAAGGGTAAGATCAAGATGTGAGACATCAGGAGCCTTACCTTCCTTTGATAATTTCTGAATAAGCGAGTCTTGATTCTTGATGGTATTCGAGGCAGAAGCAGATTTAGAAGAGCCAGCTTTGCTTAACATTTGCTTTAGAAAGGAGAGTTGTGGAGGGGAAGACAGCTTGTAATGCATCTTGATCATTTGTATCTTTTTTAGAAGACGATACAGATGACTCAAGACAAATTCCTTGTACATGCTTCTGCTTTTACTTAGAAACTTGATGATCTCCATCCACTCAGTAAGACCGTAGGAATTGATCCAAGAAAGCTTTTCTGTCCTTACTACTCCGTTTTCTCGACCAATAATCACATAGATCAGATTGGAATCATAGGTCAATTTTTGAGGACCTTTGATTCTGGCACTGACAATTCGAGTAGTAAGGAAGCGTCGGACAGTTGATTCATTAAACCATTTGATTCTTTTCTCTTTGGTTTCTTCAGACTTAGAAAGTGGAACCAAGGAGTGAGATCTGTTGGCTTCCTCAAATTGCTTTTGAAGGGCAATTGAGTTGGCCGCATCCTCAGCAGAAATACCTAGGAGATGAAGATCAGTTTCTTGAGTACATGAAGCTTTAAGCACAAGTCTATCAGCTGAGGAGACTTCAGATTGAAATCTAGCAATTTTAGCTGCAGCAGCTTCTTCATCTGAGGTCATGGGTGCCTTTCCTTCTCTGTGAGTTGGGATTAAGTCCCTAGAAGCAGTGGGAATATCATCTTGAGAAGGTATAGTACCAACATCAACAGATAATGAAGGCATAGAGCACGGTTGCTCCCCCTCAATAGGTACTGTGTCTCTATCATCAGATAGCTCCCCCTCAATCGGAGCATCACAGTCTGACTCAACTGAGGATGAAGTGGTAGAAGCTGAGTCGTCGTCCCCGTTGTCACTGGTAGTAGGATCAACTGTCTTCTCCCCCTCCGTGGGAACAGGGGAAGGTCCACTAGCAGGAACAGAAGGACCCTCCACATTGGCATATGAGGAAGGCACAGAGGCAGTAACATGAGAAGTAGGAGTAAGGGGAGCACCTGAGGCACGTAGCAGACGTGATATACCGCGATGAAGACCGCCAAGAAGAGC